TGATTTCACAGATTTTTCTGTTTGATATAAATTCTATTCTCCATTGTTACTTTTGTCTAGACACACTTAAATATAAATTTAACTAAGAAATATATCTTTTACTATTGTATTTACACAGCTATGTATTCTGTGTTCTGTGCATCCTCCCTGAAGATGTAATTTGCTCTCAGCATTGTTATTCTATCTTTTATCTGAGCTTGCCTTAATATTTTTTTTCTATTTATTGGTCCTGGACTTGAACTCAGGGCCTGCTTCTTGTACTTTTGCAATTGTAATAATTGTAAAATAATCATGACTAACTATATTATTATGACTAAATGCAATATAATTTATGTAGATAATTATATATCATTACATATATACAATTTAATAAAATATATTTTATATTAGTGAAACCTACCAAAAAGCTGTTTGAAAATGGGCAAGTGTTTGGGGAGGAAAGGGAATATGATATGGACGGTGAATTTGTTCAATAAGCAATGGAGTGAAGGTATGAAAATATAACAATATTATTTCTCTCTTATTACAAATATATGGTAAATCAAACAGTATAAATTAATCAGAAAAAAATCCATTCAGAATCCCCCAATATCTAGGAAATACTTGACCATGGAGGTGAAAGACCTACATAGTAGACACTATAAAATCTTACAAAAGGAAATTGAAGAAGACTCTAGGAACTGGAAAGATCACACATACTCATGGATTAACAGAATTATTGTGAAAATATCTTTCCTATCAAAAGCTATTTGTAGATTCAATGTCATGGTCTTCGGAATACCAATTTCATTTTTCTCATAAATATAAAAATCAATCTTAACAAAGGAGGAGGCTGCAATGCTTGATAATAAATGTACTCATTATCTTGCCATGTAATTGTAACCCCTCTGTACAGTATGTTCACAAAAAATAAAAATAAAAAAATCAATCTTAAAGTCAATATAGAAATATAAAAGACTCAGAATAGCTAAATAATACTAGAGGTGTCACAATACAAGATTTTAAATTAAACTACAGAGTTATAGTGGCAAAACAGTATGGGAATGGTATGAGAACAGCTACAAAGACCAATGGAAATAAATTCACAGAGATGAAGCAATTTGCTTTTACATAAAGTTGCCTAATACACATGTTGGAAGCACAGAAGCCTCTTCAAGAATGTTGATGGGGGGCTGGGAATGTGGCTCAGTGGTACAGCGTTTGCCTTGCATGTATGAGGCCCTGAGTTCAATTCCTCCGCACAACATAAGCAAAAAGAAAAAAGCCGGAAGTGGCACTGTGGCTCAAGTGGTAGAGCGCTAGCCTTGAGCTGAAGAGCTGAAGGACGGCATCCAGGCCCAGAGTTCAGGCTCCACGACTGGACCCTCCCCCCACAAAAAAGAATGTTGTTGGGAGTGAGTGAAAGGGTGACATGTTCAAAACCAAACATACTCACTATTTGACTTACATAACTATAACCCTGTGTACATCATCTTTAAAATAAAAATCTTAAAAATGAATGGGAAAACTGAATAGCCATGTGTACAATACTGAATCTGGATCCCTGTGTCTTTCCTTATATTCAGATCAATTCAAAGTCAATATAATTACGTAATATAAAATCTGAAAATTTGATAGTTTTGTAGAAAAGTACAGAAAAATCACCCTCAAAATACTGCTATAGTATAATCAATAACTTACTAGATAGAATTTCAATAGCTCTAACAATAAGAGTGAGGATAAATAGGGTTGATCAAACTAAAAAGCCTTTACAACATGAAGGAAATAGTAAATAAACTGACAAGACAGCTTATAGAATGGAGTAAAATCTGTGCCACCTCTATATCACCCCCAAGGATTCAGAATTATAACAGATAACAAAATATAAAGGTCTAAATAGACATAGAATTGGTAAAGATTTTAGCAATAGTAGTTAAGGAAAAATATTTGTGTGTTCAACATATTACAGGAAACTTCACACAGGATATATAGAAGTGTGTTTTCTATGAAAAATATACACAAGATTGGGCAATATGTTACAAGTTTCCCCCATGTGACTCTGAGAATGAGAAGAGTCAGGGAAATGAAAGAGAGACCATAATCCCTGAGAGAAAGAATTAAATAGCACTGAGAACCATCAACTGGCAAAAAGGCAATAGAAAAGCTCAGAAAAACAGAAAAGTGACAGAGAGCAGTAGGAAATAGTTTGTAGTTCCAATCCTATTTTTGGAGGTAAGTGAGCTAATGTCACAACCAAATGGTTAAACAGGCAGCACTGATTCGAAAACATTGGTAGCTCAACATGTAGGATAAACTCACCATTGTGAGGCTTAACTTTCATGTTAGAGTTTAGTATGAAACTACTCTGTCATGACAGGCCTGCATTGAAAAAGCAAGACATTTTATCCCACACTTGTTATGTCAGAGACTTTTAGCTAGGAATATCCTTGTTTGAGCTTAAGCAATTCTGTGGCTTAATCACAGGAAAATTAGGGCCTAAGGATCCTAGAGTCAGTATCTAGATGAGAAAAAGTCACAAGACTATCTCAGAAAAAAAAAGATAATCAGAATTTGATCTCCAAAAATATTGAATGGAAAAGAGTTGGGGTCATGACACCACTCGCTTAACAATTTTGAGGTTCTATGCTTAATTCATTATTTTATTAGTATGTATAAATATGTATGTCTATGAATACATATTAAACAAAACAAGACAGATGAGAGTAACACTGAAGTCCTTATGGATGAAAATATTTAAAAAACATGAAGAAATAAAATATGTACTAACTACTTTTACAGAAAAAGTAAGAAGAAATAAAACAGCTTTATTATTAGCTTTAGTAGGAGGTAAAGTTGCCTAGTATAACTGGAATTATTTGAGAGAGGGAAATATTTGATATCTTCAAATTATTAATTATTGTCCTGATTTATGAAATATCTATGCCATACTATATGATATATCTATGAATAGCCAATTATTTCAAATTCAATGTCCACAAATGTGCAAATCTAAGAATCACAACCAGACCAAACACAGGAAATTTGAATAAAGTTATTCCATAGCATAACAGAATCAATATTAGTTAGCATCTTTTAAAGCATCATGAGTGAGATAAAAGAGACTATTTAAAGCAAAGGAAGAAATATGTGGTGACGATAGCAAACTTATTAGAAAAAATGCAAAAAAATATTATAGCAAAACCTGTAAAATTCTTAGGAAGGAAAACTCACCATAGAATTCTATAGCTGCCAGTACTAGTGGCTCATGCCTGTAAATAGCTACTGATGAGACTGAGTTCTAGGGATTAAGATTCAAACCCAAGCTATGTACAGAAGTTCATGAGACTCATCTCCACTAACCACCAAAAAGCTAGAAGTGGACATATGACTCAAATGGTAGAGCCCAAAAGAATTCTATATCCACTGAAAATGTTTGTAAAACAAAAATGGAATCAAGAGTTTTTTTTCTGAGGAACGCAGACACAGGGAAATGAATAGAGATATGTTTGTGAAGGGGTAATTGTTTCTGTGAATATTTATATTTTTTTCTATAGAAGGATAAATGACTCTTAATATTTTCCTAAATTTGATGGAATATTATAAATTGTATATTCTAGAAAAATTTATTCCCTTCCTAAAATCTTCCACTTTCTTAAAGTAAATTAAATATTGCTAGAAATAATTTTCATTTCTTAGATGATTTTTTTAGCATTTTTGATTTTGGAACTGTGCATAATTTTTTTGGAAACATAAGAAAGAGATACAGACATAAAGAGGGATAAAGAGATTCAGGCATTATTAGTCAGATGCCCAGTATCAAGTAAAATAGCTTGTTATTATTGTTAGAAATACTTTTAAGATGCTGATTGCAAACTCCATTATGATTTCCACTAGTGGGTTGTAAATTATTCTGTGGGAAATGGAGTTTTGTAAACGAGTAGCCTAATTGCTAGAGTATGCTAAGTTTATCAACAGAAACTCAAAGTGTATCAGGTATGATCCATGGTCCCACTTTCCATAATTATTTGAATCAGAACTATTAATAATCTTTTTAAAATATATTTTATTGTTATTGTAGAGGTGATGTACAGAGTCATTGCAGATACATAAGTCAGGTAATGAGTGCCTTTTTTTGGAACAGTGTCACCCTGTCCCTCATGCTCTCCCAGTCTTTCTCTCCCGTTCCCACCCACAAGTTGTAGAGTTCATTTTCAACATAGTGTATAGTGAGTACCACTGCTGCATTGGTTCATCCTTTGTCCCGCCTTTTCTGTGCCCCCTGGCCCTCCCAAATACAAATAAAGTAACAAATAAGACAAAAGGAAAAGACAACAAAAATAGCAGCAGCAACAACAAGATACACTCTTGTTTCCATTTCTTGGAGTCCATTTCATAAAATATCATTTTATATGATCCGATGCACATACTTATTGAGACTTTGTGATCCACTCCTACGAACAGCCTCCTTTGGTCTCACTGTGTGACTGTATAATGTATCATGTCCCTGTGTATTTTTTTAAACCAGGATTGATTTGTAAAATCCTACTCTTTTTATTTTATTTTATTTTTTATTGTGAAAATACTGTACAGAGGGGTTACAATTACATGGGCAAGACAATGAGTACATTTCTTATCAAGCATTGTAGCATCCTTCTTTGATTCCCCTTCCCATTCCTTCCCAACCTCCCTCCACCCCTTCACCTAGTCCTCCTCCCTCCCCACCAAAGTTGTGTATTCAAATGTTTTCTTTCAGGTGATTGTTTCTAACACATTTATAAGATTATTTCTTTGTTTCTTTGTATGTTCCTCCCCCATGGTATAACCCCTGCTTTCACTGTATTTGAGGTTGGTATACTTTGTGGAGGGGAAGGGAAAAAACAAAACATTTAAATAAGGATACAGGTGGATCCATTGCAACAATGAGATGTACAAGTCGTTATGTGGAAAAACGAACTTTACAACTATTAATAATCTTAATATTCACTCTATGTTCATATTCATCTCTATGTTTCATATTATAGCTCTCTTGATGAAATTAAAATAGAGGAAGTCAACATCAGAGGTTTATTTGTGAGAATCGTTAACTCTTCCTTTGACAAAGAACTGCAGATTGGAGATTATACGCTTCTGCAAAATATGAATGGGGAATCGATTTCTTCTTACAAATTTCTTCCAAATATCTCACTTCCAGCCAATTCCACAGTAACAGTAAGAGTTATAAATATTTAAAATAAGATGACAGAATCTCACTTCAATTCATTTACACACTCAGCATATAGTTTAGCTCATAAAGACTCATCACTTGTTGGTCTGTCCATAAGATGCAATTTTATTGCACTTTGTGCTGGTAGAATTGTTGGTACTTTTTTTATCTTGTGGAAGTAAATTAATGCTCATAATTTAATGCTTGAAGATTTTCTCATTTAGATATATGGTATCTTTTGCTTTGGTCATTTTAGTATTAAAGTAAAATTCCAAAAAGTAAGCTGAAAATATGTTAAAGAGAGAAGTAAAGGGATTATTTTATCAGAGATCAATTAGTGAGTTGATGGAGTGTTATCTCCAGATATATTTTGTACATTTTATTAGCAATCTTACACAGTGGCTGTTTGCTGTTCCATGGCTTGACCTAATACATCATAAAATCAGTATATTTAAAAAACTCATCTGAAGGTTATAATGGTGGTGCACAGCTGTAGTCTCAGATGCTCACGAGGCTGAGGAAGAAAGATTATTGAGACCAAATGAGCAACCTAATGAGACTCCTTTATGTCTAAAAATGAAAATGCATAAATAAATTGGATTAAGATGTTTTCTCAGAAATACCAAATCATCACAACTTTATGTCATTACAGAGCTAGGCTGACCCCTAATAGCATTTTTAACTTAACATAATGCTTTTTGAAAGGTATGGGCAGCAGCATCAAAAGCAAAGCACCAGCCACCATCAGACTTTTTTTGGAAAGAACAAAACAAGTTCAAATCAAGTCCGGATTGTACAACAATCTTGTGCAACTCGAAAGGTGAAGTAAGTATCTGATTCTTTACAAAACTCTTTGTAGAATGGCAAGTTCTCTTTACTTTTTTCCTCTTCTTTTCCATTTTGAAAATGTTTGGTAGACTCATCATTTGATGCCTTAACACTCAGGCACATCATCAATACTCACTTCCCAATGTCAAAGTGCCAAGGAAATACCATTTGGCAGTAGTAATTTTGATATTCCATATTTTCAAGAAGATACTACAAATTCCAAATTATATGAGAGGTTTTAGTTGTGAGATTTGACAGAATAATAAAAGTGCTATATATAGACTTCTCTATTTCTCAAATAATTATGGAGCTCTTTCTATAAAGATATACTTGTTACTGTCCAAGATCCTAACACTCCCCTTAATTTATCTCTTAGAATTGAGGATTAGGAAGGTAGAATAAGAAGAAGATAGAAGACAGAGACAGAGAAAGGGAGGGAGAGAAAAGGAAAGAGGTGTGAAAGACATAGGAGAGACGAAGGGAGGAAGAGGTAGAGAAGAGAAAGACAGAACCTAATTTTTAACAAGGTTCAGAGCAGAGCCACAATGGGCCAACTTACCCATTATGAGGTTTGATTCAAGAAAAATAATAGACTTAGGAGCCAAAAGGAAAAAGACACAAACCAAAGGAAAGTATATTGAAGAAAGAGCAAGGCTTCTCCAAGGAAAATGAGTTCTGGTGCTTGGGGACCATTGGTCTTTCACTGGTGTCACTTATATAACATTGGTATGTTCACACACTCATTCCCTACACAAAACTTTACCTTCTCCTGAGCTGCTGAGCACTGTTAGTGGATCACCAGCCATCATCTATCCCTATCCTGCCTTATACTAAGGACTGGGTATTTAACATAAAACTAGGATTCTAATAGAGAAGCTTCAAAATCTTAATTTAAAATGACTATACTTTATTCATTACAAAATTAAGTATACTAGAAAATGGTTTGTGTAACTCATTCCTACTTTTTGACTTTATATTTTCACTCTAACTTTCCCTTGGTGTGACAGAATAGACTCTGGCATGACATGTACATTACTCCATGGAGCCTACCTTGGTTGGGGAATAACCACGCATGCTTTGCATGAGTAGCATTCACCAATAATTAAAAAATTATTTTACAACATCAATATCATTCAAAATTACATAACTCTAACTGTATTTGGTATTGATAAAGCATCTTTATTTAGGCCGTGGCTTGGTATACCCCTATTCATTGGATGCAAGCTTGGGAAAAAGTAGAGACTGACATTGAATTTGACAGATACACAGTCAGTACTCCCACATCCAAACCACACATATTTTGGAGGACAACCTCAGAAAATACAGAAAACAGAGACTATGAAGATGAGTCAGAGAAAAATGCTACAGAATATCATATGGAAACCACACAACTTTTCCTTAGGAGGTAAAGAAAGTATTATTGGTTTGCGTCCTTCCTATGTGATGTGATCTGCTGAATAAATCATATCTATCATAGTTATTACTATTTTGAATATGATCCACATGAGAAGTATAAAAAATTGAGCATTTAAATATTTATTGAATGTAAAGGCTGATGGTCTTCATTAAGACCTCTGGCTACTACATTTTTCCATGGTGCTGCTTTTCTGGGCAAAAAAAAAAACAAACCCAGAGAATTGCCAAGGTGAAGCTGTTTCCATGTCTTCATTGGTGCTTAAATCAAGAGAGAAAGACGGATTACCAAGGAGTTTTATTTTGGATAAAGATATGGCTGTGTATGAATCACGGGATTTCATTAATGTTTACACAAATGCTTCCAGTGATGTAAAAGTCTGCCCACAAGCAGAAAAAACTCTGTTCCTTTGGTATGGACATACATGTCCATTCTAATGGAACCATCAATAACATTTCCAATGCATTAAATACATTGGAATTTGGGTTCAAATTCGTTTTTTTTCTTTTACAGAGAAAAGGAAATCCCACCAATTCTTGTCCCAAATCATAGCCCTTGGTGCAGCAGTCCTGATGTGCCTCCACATCCCTATTGTCCTTTGATTGAGTCTTGCCACCTGTCCTGTGGAAGAAGAGAACCCAGGTCTCAAGCAACCAGGACTGATCCAGCCCTGGGCAAGTCAAAGGGATACTTTCTTCACGGGGGAGTAAGGAATAACGTTTTGTGTGTGTGCGTGTGTGTGTGATGTGTCTGTCTGTTGTTTCTGTGTATTTGTGTGTGTATCTGTGTGTGTGTGTGTGTGTGTGTGTGTGTGTGTTTGAGAGAGGGAGAGGTAATGAAAGAGAGACAAAGACAGTGGAGAAAGACAGAGAAACATGTAAAGACAAACAAAGAGGTAGATATGGAGTAGAGAGATAGAAGCACAGAGATAGAGACAAAAAGACAGAGACAAAGACAGAAGAAGAGGGAGACAGAGATGAAGACACACTGAGAAGAACAGGGAGACACAGACAGAGGGGCAGAGAGACATGGAGATGAGACAGAAAGAGGAACAGATAAAAAAATAGAGTGGCAGAAAAAGACAGAGACAGTGATGAGACAGATGGGGCAGGCAGACAGAGACAGGAGTACAGAGAGCTAAAGAAATATGAGACACAACAGAGAGACAGACACAGATGGAGACAAAGAGAAATAAAGAGACAGAAATGGAGAAAGCCAGAGAGAAAGATATAGAGATGGAGAGAGAGAAAGAGAAGAGAGAGATAAGTCTTAAACAATCCTCAGACTCCAGCAAGGTCCTAAAAGCAAGTATTGAAAATCATTCATTTACTTTTACTCCAATAAACATTCTTCCAGAGTTAGTTTTTAATAAACATGTGTCAAATGAATAAAACATCCAGGTCAGAAGGATTATATATGATTGAAATCTGGTGAGGAAGGAAAACTGTTTCTAAAATGATATGCTGTAACAAATTATCCATCTCTTTCAAATACTCCTATGTTAATCCCAAATTAACACAGGTTTTAATCAGAAGTTTGCTAAATCTTATAAATCACTCTTGGTGCTATAAATAGTCAAATCAATAGAATTTGATGTCATTAGCTTGGGTTCACTGAAGGGATTTCCAGGAATCAATGACACAGTAAACATATTCTCAGAAAATATGCTTATCCTATGATATTGAAATTTATACCTCCTTGGACTTCTCCTCAGATTGAATAGAAAGTAATCACTTGGAGAGGAACATAGTGAAATAGTATTCTCTCCCCAGGCTTTGATAAAACGCTGATCAATACTAGTACAAAATTTTGGAATACAAGAATATCATTATTACCTCTTGTATTTGAAAGGCGTCATTTTTCTCTTCTTTTGTTTTCCAAACATTCAGTCTGTAATTTGGTGATATTTTTAGAGGACATTTTTATGAAGTCAAGTGAAAACATCATTCATGTATGTGTCAGCTAAAATGTTTCTTAATGTACAGATAAAGTATATGAAGATATATCCGGATATGGCATGTCACATCTGTAACCCCACCTACTCAGGAGACTGAGAACTGAAGATCCTGGCTCAAAGCCAACCCCAACAGAAAAGTTCATGAGAATTTTGGTTTGGGGGCCAGTCCAGGGGCTTGAACTCAGGACCTGTGCACTATCCCTGTGATTTTTCACTCAAAACTGGTACTCTCCCACGTGTGTCACAGCTCCATTTATGATGTTTTGGTGATTGATTGGAAAATGGAGTCTTATGGACTTTCCTGTTGGGGCTCACTTTGAATCATTAACATCAGAACTCAGACTCTTGAGTAGCTAAGACTATGGGCATGATCCATTAGTGCATAGCCCTGAGACACATCTCTAATTAACTACAAAAAGACTTGAAGTGGAGAAATAGACCAAAATGTAGAGTGGGAACCTTGAGCAAAGAGCTAAAATAGAGCATGAGGCTTTGTGTAGGTACTATGCCCCAGACCTTCACAGAGAAAGAAAAAAAGAATTCTATAATAATATTCTTAATAATAAAATAATTAGTTGATATTATATCTGTTTAAAATTCACTTATCATTATTCTAAAGGTAATACCCAGAAGGGTTTTGGTTACATATGCCAGAGAAAGAGTACATATTTTTACAAAATGTCACCACTTCCCTCACACCCTCCCAGTTTTTCCCTTCCATCCCCACCCACTAATGGTATGTTCATTATCAAAATACGGTATAGTGAGCATCACTGTTGCATTGTTCAACTTTTTTTTTATCGGTCGTGGGGCTTGAACTCTGGGCTTTGGCACTGTCCCTCAGCTCTTCAGCTCAAGGAGAATGTTCTACCACTTGAGCTACAGCGCCACTTCGGTTTTCTAGTGATTTATTGGAGATAAGAGTCTCACAGACTTTCCTGCTGGGCTGGCTTGAACCAAGATGCTCAGATCTCAGCCTCCTGAGTAGCTAGGATTACAGGCGTGAGCCATCGGCTCAACATTTGTCCCACCAATTCTGTGTTCCCCTTACCTTCTCAAACACACTAACAAACAAGATAAAGGGAATTAAAACATAAACAACAATGAAGGAAAACAAACAAAACAACAGGAACAAAAAAACCATTTCTCTCATCTTCCTGAAGTTCATTTTGATAACTATTATTTTATATTGTAAGATCCACATAGCTATTTCATCTATGTGATCCTCCCCTGAGCATATTCTCTTTTGGTCTCACTGTGTGTGAATAACTAGAGATCTGTATAATTTAGGATGCCCCAGTATATATATTTTCCCTTTTTCATCCAGTGAGCTTACTTGTAGATTCTTAGGCATATACAGTTACCACAAATGAAGGAAATCAAGCAACCTGTATTTATTTGGGTCTGGCTTTCTTCACTTAACATTATTTTTCCAAGCATTCCACTTTTTATTTTTATTGTCAAGGTGATGTACAGAGGGGTTATAAGGTAATAAGTACATTTCTTGTCAAACTTTTTACCTCTTCCCTAATTTTTCTCCTACTTATGAATGGTAGGAAATCATTCCTGATAGATGCATAGAATTCCATTGTGTATGTATACAATATTTTTAGATCCCTTCTTCCACTGAGGGACATCTGGGTTGATTATAGAAGCTGGCTATGGGAATAAGGCTGCATGAATATGATTGTGCTTGTGGCTTTAGTGTGGTCTGGTTTGTGGTCAAGCAGATAAATGCCCAGGAGTAGGACTGATAGGTCATAAGAAAGCTCTTTTGAGGAACCTCCATCCAGCTTTCCAGAGTAGTTAATGAAATTACAGGATAGTTGTGTTCCTTTTTGGCCACTTCCCCTCCAGCCTTTTTTCTTGTTTGTTTCCTTGATAATGACCATTATAACTGGGGTGAGTTAGAATCTTAGGATTATTTTCATTTAATGTCTTGTACAGCCATAGATGTCATATGTCTCTTCATGTGTTTATTGCTCATTCTTCTTCTGATATGTCTCTCTTTTAGTCTTTAGTCCATTTATTTTTTCGATTGTTGTTTCTTTGATGATATGTTTTTGGGAGGTTTAGTTTTTTTGAGCTTCAAATATATTTTGGGTATTAGGGTCTTGTCTGATGTTTGCCTGGCAAACCTCTTCTCCATTCTGTGAATTTTCTATAAATATTGCTATCTGTGTCCTTTATCATGCAGAAACTTTTCAATTTGATTCAGTCCAATTTATACAGTCTTTCTTTGATTTTTTTCTGTGATTCTGGATCTTTACTTAAGAAGTTTTGACCCATGTTTACGAGCCCTAGTGTTTCTCCTACCACTTCCTATAATATTTTCATGGTATCTGGCTTTACATTAAGGTATTTGGTACAATTTGAATTGACTCTACTATATTGCACAAAGCAGTTTACAAATCCATGCAGTACCCATAAAATCCAGATAACTTTCTTCAATGAAATAGAAAAAACAATCCACAAATACATTTGGAATAACAAAAGACCCTTACAGGCAAAATCAATCCATACCAGGGGAAGAATAGTGTTGGAGGGATATCTATACCAAACTTCAAACAATATTATGAAATCATAGTAAAAAAAAGCTTGGTACTTGAACAAAAATAGGACCAATGGAACAGAATAGAAGACCCAGATATGAACTCCCAAACTTATAGCCACCTAAAATTTGATATAAAAGCACAGGTTGGAGGAAAAAGAGCCTCTTCAACAAATGGTGCTGGCAAAATTGGTTATGCAAATGCAGAAACTAAACTAGATCATTATTCAATGTTTGGTTTCAATGTGTTGTTCTTTCTTTTTTATTTCATCTTATACATTAGCACATACTTGCATATAACTATATATGCATATTATACATCATTTTTCAATTAATTTTTTATTGTAAAGGTGATATATAGAGAGGTTATTGTTACAAAAATCAGGTAGAGGGTACATTTCTTTTTGAACAATGTCACCCCTTGCTTTGCTTTCTCCAAGTTTTTACCTCCTATCTCCTTCATGTATTACACAGTTCATTTTCAACATGAGGTCTAGTGTGTATCACTGGTACATTTGTACAATAAATGGAAACTAGAAGTCTTCTGTTGTTTATTACTCCTTTTTTTTTTTTACTGGTTTTGTTTTCTTTACCTTTCTTGTAGGGTAGTCTTCTTCTATTTGGGGGAGCTTAAGGGAGTGCATAGAACCTTATTTATCAACCTGAACCAGGATTCAATTCTAAATGCATCAATGGTTGGATCATTTATTTCAGCACGTTTCAGCATTTTTGTACTAAGATTTGAACCCAGGGCTTTAAATTTGATAGGTAGCACTTTATTACTTGAGCCAACCACATCCCCAGGTCCCCCCTCAATATTTCCAGACAAGAGGTATAGATTGCTGTAAGGTTACAAACAATTATAATATATTTTCCCAAATAATTGAAAAAACACTGCTTCTGAAAGTTAATATTCATATTAATATACTAGATGCTAAGCATTTCACCTTGATTCACCCAAGAAATTGACACCAACTGCAGAAATTCAAATGCATAAGCATACTAGGCTATAAGTCAGTAGCTCATATCTATGATCCTAGCTACTCAGGAGGCTGAGATATGAGTATTGCTCATACTACAAAGCCAACCTGTGCAACAGAGTCCATAAGACTTTTAGATGCAATGAACCATCACCTAAAGCTGGAAGTGAAGGTCTGATCCCAATGGTAGCACACTAGCTTGAGCAAAAATGCACAGGTACAGTTAGTTATGAGGCCCTGAATTCAAGATCCAGGACTAGCACTATTACTACTACTACTACTGTTGCTACTAATGAGAAGGAGAAGAATAAGAAAGAAAACAAAAATTACTACTGTGTATATATGCCCATGATTGAAGTTTAAGAATTTATAGATGGAATTTTATGTAAATGGATTTTTAGCCCTTAATGAGATTGTGTTTCCTAAGAAAGAACCTGTCAGAGTTCAATTTAAACCTTCATTCTCAGTGAAATTGGAAAGACAGATGCAAAACATTAGTAAAGTCCATATCGTGCCAACATGAAATAAATAGAATGCTTCTGGAAAATAAGAAGTGAGAAGCTACATTCATCCAACCAGAGACTGAAAATATTGTGGGAAAGAATTCATCTCTATTAAATTAGGAGATATTTTTTTGGGTCGAGTCGTGAGGCCTGAGCTCTGGGGCTGGGCGCCGTCCCTCAGCTCTTCAGCTCAAGGCTAGCGCTCTACCACTTGAGTCACAGCGCCACTTCCGGCTTTTTTCTTTTTGCTTATGTGGTGCTGAGGAATTGAACCCAGGGCCTCAGGCATGCAAGGCGAGCGCTCTACCACTGAGCCACCTTCCCAGCCCTAAATTAGGAGATTTTCTTCTGTCATTTTCCCTTATACATTACAACTGTTGTATACACAGCATTTATGTTGTCATTACATATTTCATAAGTACACTAGAGATGACCTAAAGCACACAGGAGGATGCTGTACATTATAGGCAAATGTTATTACTTGAATATCTTGCGGGGAGCTGATCCCTATCTCCCATGACGCCCAAGAGACTCAGCAGAAATGACAGGTCAGTCAGCATTGCTTCTTTGCCAATATTTATTTATTTTTTTGGTCAGTCGTGGGGCTTGAACTCTGGGTTTAGGCGCTGTCCCTGCGCTCTTCAGCTCAAAGTGAACACTCTACCGCTTGAGCAACAGCGCCACTTCCGGTTTTCTAGTGGTTTATTGGAGATAAGATTCTCATGGACTTTCCTGCCCGGCCTGGCTTTGAACCGCGATCCTCAGATCTCAGCCTCCTGAGTAACTAGGATTACAAGCTTGAGCCACGGGTACCTGGCGTATGCCAATACTTCTATGTATCCATTCTGAGTTAGCCTGAGTCCTGCCCTGCCCTTCTCCAGCTTCTGTGCCTTTGGGAGATGTGTAAACACAAAAAGCATTTGAGAGCTTGGTAGGAAGATCAAATTATACTCTAAATTTCTGCATTAATCAACTGTAATCACAATTTCTCTTCCAGATGGTTGTTTTCTTCTCAGGATTTTGTCTTAATTATGTCTTGACAAATAATTTCTTTTCTTTTATAATGATTCACTGAAAACTTGGGATTAATCAAATACCACTTTCAAGTTTTGGTTCAATTACTGGTGTTGACCTAAATGATATGGATTTCCTTTCTAAACCAAAGAAACTCCTGAGGGTGCCGAATTAATGTAATATAAATATAAATAATGCATTTTTTCAAGGAACCAATTTTTGTTTTGTTGTTTTTGATGTAATTTTAAATCTGAAATTCATTTATTTCTGATATAATTTTACTATTTCTCTCTGTATTGGTTTTGAGTTTGACTAGTTCCCATTTTCAAACACCTTGAAGTGCATCAATGGAGTATTAAGATTTCCTCCATTTGTTGATGTGGGCACTCAAAGTTATGAATTTTCCGCAGTGTTCCAGAGGACCTGGTATTTTTTTGTGTTCATTTATATTAATTTACATAAACATTTGAATTTCTTATTTTCATTTCTTCAATGAACCATTGATCATTCAGTAATGTGATCTTTAGTTTCCATGAGTTTTCTGTGTTTGCTCTAATTTTATTCTGTTTTGGTCTGAACAGTATACAGGGAATATATTATTTTAACTTGCATGGACTTCCTTTGTGACTTAGGATATGATTTATTTTGGAGAACCTAACATGCAATGCTAAGAAGAATATATATTCTGACACTGATGGGTGAAATATTCTATTGATGTCTAGTAAATCTAGCTGGTCATTATCCACAGACTTGAGAAAGGAACCATTTGGTCAAAGGGCGGTGCAGATTTTGAAGTGATGACACTAATCAACTTGTATTGTACATGTAAATCCCTTTGTTAAAAGACAAAAAAATAACATAAGTAAATAAGGGAAACTGGAGTTTGGAAGAGGTAATGAAAATGTTGAAAGGGGTGACAGTGATCAAGATGCATTGTACTCATAAACTGCTTTGGTGAATGCCAAATTCTTTCTACAATGATCTTATATTTTTGCAATTTTTTAATTGTGATTATGTGATTACATAATTTTACATATTTCACAGTATTGTGGTATAATGATACTTCGTTAAAGTCACAAACACATTCTAACCTTCATGGGGCAAATTGTCTTTTTCATGGACTACAAAGTTTATGAGTTCTATGAGCTTTGATGATGTAGTCATTTCTTCCAAATCGGGTGATATGTGCATTCCTTTCTTTTTGCTTAGTGTCAGATGTTCCCTCTTTCCCACTGATTCCCTCACTCCCATCACTGCCATTAAATTGCTTAGTTCATTTTAATCCATGTCCAGTGAAGCTGATGGGTCCTGCTGTATGTTTTCCCATGTTCCCCTCTAGTTCTGTGTCCTCTTCCTAGTATCCCTCCGATGGACACATATATACCATATATGTGGTCAATGGCGAAGGGTCATTTAGTGATGATTCGACAAGATGAGTGGGGGTCCTTTGTTTCTCGAGTCTTGTTTACTTTTTCATACCACCTTGTGTCTTGGATTTAACATCCACTTATCAGGGAGACCATGTGCTATTTGTCTCTTTCCTCTTGGCTTACCTCACTTAACACGATTTCTTCTAGTTCCATTAATTTCACTGCGAATGCCATTATTTTGTCCTTTCAAATGGCTGCATAACATCCCATTGTATATAGATACCACAATTTTTGGATCCATTCATCTGTAGTGGGGCATCTGGGTTGTTTCCATATCCTGGCTATTGTGAACAGTGCTGCAATAAACATGGAGGTGAAAGTGTCCTTGTATACTTGTTCCTGTTGTTCAGGATAGATGCCTAGGAGTGGTATGGCTGGGTCATGGGGGGGTGTCAATATTTAGTTTTCTGAGGACCCTCCAGATTGCTTTCCAAAGTAGTTGTATAAATGTACATTTCCATGAGTACTGTAATAGAGTTTCTCTTTCTCCATGTCCCCTCTAGCATTTGTTGTTGACTGACTTAGGATGTGGGCCATTCTCAGGGTTGTCTTCATTTGAATTTCCTTTACAACCAGGGATGGTGAAATACTTTAAAATAATAAAAATATTAAAAAAAATCAATGCTTGGAATAATAGACTGACATTCAACGTGTTGTTCTCCTTATTCTTTTTCAGGGACCAAGGGAAAAAAGAAATCTAAGTCACAAAAAGGAATAGTCAATAAACCCAATCTTTCAAAGTAAGCACCAGTATTGATAATTGTGCCTTTCTATGGGAAAATAACAAATAAATTTCCAAAATACCTTTTTTTTAAAAAATAAAACTAGAATTTGAGCTTAACATCTCGCTTACTAGGCAGTGATCTACCAACTGAAGTACCCACCAGCCCTTTGTGCTTTCGTTGTTTGTTATATTGTGCCTCAGATTTTGCCCAAGACAAGCCTTGGGTTACAGTCCTACTGCCTATAGTTCTCAGTAGCTGGGATGATTATTTGAACCACCATAGCTAGTTTGTGTACTGAGATGGAATATCCTGAACTTTTTGTTCAGGCTGACCTATAATTGCAGTCATCCCAATCTCTACCTTCCTAACACAAGTGTCTTTAAAAGCCATAAGTATGTTGTGTGGTGCTTCCACCACTTAAACACAAACTTTTAGTTTTCTGGATTCTGTAGACAGATTATTTTGTTTTTTCTGTAGCCTGATGATCTCTTTTTATAATTCCATCTGCTCTGTGATTTTCTCTGTTTTCCAAACGTCTCGATTTCTTGTCTATCCCTATGCTGCTTATACTCATTATTTTCTTTTCCTGAAGGATAAATAGTTCTTTTTTTGTCAGTTGTGTCCCTCAGCTCTTCAGCTCAAGGCTAGCGCTCTACCACTTGAGCCACAGCACCACTTCTGGCTTTTTCTGTTTATGTAGTGCTGAGGAATCAAACCCAGGGCCTCATGCATGCAAGGCAAGCACTCTACCACTGAGACACCTCCCCAGCCCAGAATAAATACTTCTTTTTGTTTTTGTGTGCCGATTTTGTGGCTTGATCCTCAGAGTCTGAGCGCCATCTCTTAGCATTTTTCTCAAATTCGGTGTTCTACAACCTGATTCACATCCAGGATTGTGTTTGCTACGTGGAGATAATAGTTTTGTAGGCTTTCGTGCCTGGGATGGATTTGCATTGAGTCCCACATCTCAGTCTTGTGATTATCAAGAAATATTGGCATGAGACATCAGCAACTAGCAAGCATGTCTACTGTTTTATAGACTCACTCTTCTTTCACATTATATCACAATGCAATTATAATGTCACATAGCGTTACTTATACCATCATATCACTGAATCTCCAACTTCATACAAATGTGATGTCTATACCTTCCCTGTTCAAAGATTTCTCCAATGCTTCCTCATGGGGCACTGATTGGTACTGGACAGCAATGTACTACCCCATTTCACTTTAAATGAGTAAGTGAATGCTGCCAATATTTTAAAATGACCGCAAAACACACTAAGATATTTTCACAGGAAAGAACTGAAAAATCCAGACTGATTTAATTTCGACTTCCAGACACTTTGAAACTGTCTCAATAAGAATATAATTCCTGTGGTTTCCTCTGCCTCTACCATTATGTCATCAAAATTCAAGATTCTACACTCTGTAGACCAATTATCTTCTATTCTCTATAAGCCAAAGCAAATTCTGGGTACTAATCCTGTAATGATAAACCTTGAATACAAGATTTCACACTTTTACCATTTGTGCAATGCCCTGTAATCTTTATGTGTTTACTTTTAAGGTAGAGACTCACACTAATTTTTCTCTGGTGGCCACAGAGTTCATTCATCCTTCTTCCACCTCCTTAGTATCTGAAAACATAGATGTGTGCTATTAGCCAGATTGTTCCGGATACAGGCTCTCATGCAATCCTGTTAAACTTCCCCAGGAAAGTCTCAATTTTAGCCTTCCTACTTCTGCTTCTTGAGGAGCTGAGATTGCAGGTATGTACCACCAAGCCCAGCTAGGCACTATATCCAGTTCTGGGGCTTGAACTCAGGCACTAGGCATTGTCCCTAAGCTTTGTGTGTGTGTGTGTGTGTGTGTGTGTGTGTGATGATTCTGGGGTTAGAATTCAACCTTTTCATTGCCCTTAGATTTTTCTACTCTAGTCTAGGGCTCTACCACAGCTCCACTTCCAGCTTTATGGTGGATAATAGGAGTAAAAATTCTCATGGATTTTTCACAGGTTGTTGTCAGTCATTATTTAATTATAAACAAATATGATGGGTAGACTGGTTTGTTTGATTTTTTTTTTCGGTCGTGGGGCCTGAACTCTGGGCCTGGGCGCTGTCCCTCAGCTCTTCAGCTCAAGGCTAGCGCTCTACCACTTGAGCCACAGCGCCACTTCCGGCTTTTTTCTTTTTGCTTCTGTGGTGCTGAGGAATCGAACCCAGGGCCTCTGGCATGCAAGGCAAGCACTCTACCACTGAGCCACCTTCCCAGCCCGGTTTGTTTGATTTTTGAGAATTTTTCCGTGTGTGTGTGTGTGTGTGTGTGTGTGTGTGTGTGTGTGATTCTGGGGTTGGAATTCAACCTTTTCATTGCCCTTAGATTTTTCTACTCTAGTCTAGGGCTCTACCACAGCTCAACTTACAGCTTTATGCTGGATAATTGGAAACAGTAGTCTAACATTCTTTTCCAGCTTGGGTTGGCCCCAGACCACAACCTTCCAATCTCAAATTCTTGAATAGCTAGGATTAGAAGCTTGAGCTACCATCACCCTGGTTGCAAATGTGTTTCTAATGTTGTTGTGTGTATAATAAAATAATTTAACAAAAATCTTGACACCAGGGTAGGAAGGTGGTTCAATGTTAGAGTGCTTGCCTTGCATGCATGAGGCACTGGGCTCGATTCCTCAGCACCACATAAGCAGAAAAAGCCAGAAGTGGCACTGTGGCTCAAGTGGTAGAGCAGGTGCTAGCCTTGAGCTGAAGACATGAGATACAACACTCAGGCCCAGAATTCAGACCCCACAACTGACAAAAAAGGCTTGATGCCATTCATAGTCTTTCTCATGAGAGCCAGTGGAAGATTATTTGGAAGTCTGATCCTTTTCAGTCTACACAGTCCTGTAAAACTCTATGCCTTTCTGGATGCCTTATATTTATCTTCTCATATGGTTGTATTTACAACTGACCTCAGCATACCCCTATAATATTTTTGAAGTCTTCACTAGTAGCAAAATTTGATGCAATTTCTTCAAGAACCCCTGCTGAAAGACTTATTTATTCCATTCAGCTTATGAGTCTGGCTTGTCTGTTCAGAGACAAAATATCGTTTTTTGTTTTCATTTCATAATCATTGGGAATTTATAACAGAGGGTACCTGCATTGAAATTCATGGCTTTCACAGTAGCTTGCCTAAGCATATGGAAGAGGTAGAGCTGAAGTATCTGCAGTGTTTGATGAAGTAAGTTTGTCTCAAAGAGATAACTCACCTAAAGTCACTGAGATGGTAAGTGTCAGAAAGAAGACTAGAAACTGAGGTTAATATCAATGCTATCCCAAAGCCACTCTGCCAATTAAACTGTAAGACTGTCTAATTATTCCTCTCTCACCTTCAATAGGAGATAAAAACTCCTTGTGTTTAAAAGTGGGACTCTTAAAAGGATATTTATTTCAGAATCCCAATACTGACAGCAAAAGAAGCAATTCAAACTTCAGTCTCAGATGTCTCTGCTAATTGTATTTCTTTGCAACAAAGTATTAAAATCTTGCAGTAGGATGATTCATAGCTCTTGGTTGCATCATTAAATACTTTCCTGAAAAAGTGTTGGAGTTCTATTGTGTGATATGGGCAGTGTGGTTGAATGTTATCACATAATACAGCAGAAACAGAACTTTCGACAATTTGTGGGTTATATACAAGTTATCTTACTTGGCCCTGAAAAATCAAGTAATATATTTCTACACTGATGACCACCCACTATGAAATCTCAAACTCCCCTTCAAGATGATGTGTTTACTTAGAAACTTGGGAAAGTACCAAATTATGGTAATGCCAGATATTAAATTCACATGTAATAAGAGTTTTTACATATAGAAAGCACTCCCACTAATTGGATGACAGTCCTTTGGAGTGCCAGTGGCTCACACCTATAATCCTAGCTACTAATGAAGCCATATTCTAAGGATCACAGTTCAAATGCCGATTGGGAACATAAGACAGTCCACGATACTGTGATCCTCCAATTCACTACCATAAAAATCAGCTGAAAGTTGTGGCTTAAGTGATAGAGCACTACCTTTTAGCAAAAAGGGTCAGTACAGTGCTCAGGCACACACAAAGACAATTCTAATGCAGTATTGATGAGTCCATTCTGAGAACCACACCATAACCACATAGTGTTGCTCTCTTTTCTTGTTGTTGATTGTGGGGCTTAAACTCTGGGCATGAGTGCTGTCCGTGTACTCTTCAGCTCTTGAGCCACTGAGACACTTCATTACTTGAGCCACTGAGACACTTCTGGTTTTCCGGTGGTTAATTGGAGATAAGAATCTTATGGACTTTCCTGCTCAGGCTTGCTGTGAACTCTGACCCTCAGATTTCAGTCCCCTGAGTAGCTTGAATTACAGGCATGAGCCACCAGTGCCAGGCACATTGTTACCCTTCTCATAGTGCATACTGGAAAGTCCAATCGGAGGCTTGCTTCCAGCCCCTAAGCAAGTTCATGGGGATCCTGACCAAAACCTTCCATAAAATTTACTACCAAATCCAGTTTTTACAAATAATTAGTTGGGATTTAGTAGTCAAGAAACAGGAAGTTAATGATAATAATAATAATAATAATGTTACTATTATTGGTTTTGTGGTTGATCTTACATAACTATAGATTGAACTCTGGTCTTTGCACTTGCTTCAAAATCATTTTACCCCTTGATCCATACCTTCAACCTCTTTTACTTTTATTTTTCAGATAAGACCTCTTGATTTTTCTCCAGGACAAGCTTTGGACAATAATCTTACTACTTCTATGTCTCCTACATAACTGTGATTACAAGTGGGCACCAGCACACCCAGCCCTACATTTAATACTCTTTACTGTAATACCCTAGTAAAATGTAATTATTACATTTTTCCTGTGAAAGTATCAATGTTTTCTCTACACACTCAATCACATATTCTTTTAGTCTCTGCACTAACGCTTTGTTCAAGTCAGCCTGCAAAACAATGTATAAACATCCAGATTTCTTTAGTGAGATGAAACTTCATGTGTATTTTCTTTTCACAGTTGTCTTCAAAGTTTCTTGCCTTCCCTGTTCTTGTCTGCCAGTTTCGCCCTTCAGGTGTCATCATTCAGTTGTATGGAACAGTGAATACACCTGTAGCCTATACTCCCCATCATTCTGTTGAAAGACTACACTTTGAAAATGCCAAAAGCCTGAGTGAATTCCTCCATAGAGGAGCTTAGGACACTAACTTCTCCAGCTGTTGTGTCATCTGATGTAATTTCTATAGTGATCTCACAGTTGTCATACACAGAAAGCCGAGCTTTCAATATGTTTGGTTTCCTTTCTAAGAATATCATCTGCTTTATTTAAATATGAGATATCTCTTAGATTGCATAAGCAAACTAGATGATTCTCAACTACCAACAAGGTTGACATGGGCAATATGAGCATGGCCTGGGTTAGTAAACTAATTATATCATAACTATTTTGATGTTCATATTCAAGAGCAGAAATAATATTAAAAATCAGCTGGTGAAATAGATAGGTCATTTAGGAATAAATAATTCTCTATCATTAAACCGTCCTTCAAACATTTACCCAAAACAGTGCATACATGACAACGGTAACAAAAGAAATAAAAAGGTCCTCCCTTGTGACTGCTCTACCATATCTGCTAATTTTGGATTTTAAGATTAGTTGGAATGGAAAAATTTCAAATAAATGACATTTTGATTACAATCACCATAATTCCAGTCTGAATTATATATTTCGACTTAGGCTCTTTTAAAAAGTATTATATTTTATTATATGTGTGTGTATACATTTGTTTGTATAAGGATAATAATATCCAAGTCTAGAGAAAGCAGGCAGTCTTCATATCTCAGCCATCCATCATCACTCAGCAGAGATAACTAATAGCAAAAAAGAAAAATCTTTTCTGAAACTTTACTGTATATTACAATTAAATATAGTCACCCTCCTATGCAGAAGGACACCAAAATTTAATTCTCTGACCTCAGTATGACCTCAGTATGACTAACTTTTCTCTGTCCTTCCCACTTCACTCCAGAGTTTCTGGTAACCATTCACACATCTTTCTGAGCACCCAGTTTCACCCAAGTGAAAACTATTTGGTATTTTTCATTCTGTGAAATGAAAAGGTTTGCATAGGAGGGTGACTGTATTTAATTTTAATATATAGTAGTCTCAAGAAAGCCTTTTTTGCTGTTAGTTATCTCTGCTGAGTGATGAAGGCTAGCTGAGACATGCAAGACATCCTGCAGGTGGGCTTTCCAAAGGAGACCACGTATTTTGTATAAACCACTGTTGCATGTGCTGAGGAATAATAATGGGACACACACACACACACACACACACACACGTTGCATATTCCTGCTCATAGGCACTTTTACTACTTATTATTTCAGCTCCTATCTCCTCATTTTACTTAGGGACTTTGATATGCACACAAAACAATTTCTTTATTCTTGAGACAGTTTATTAAGTGAATCACACTTTATTATTGCTTCTCTGTGAACTCATTTGTTTGAGAATTTAATTTCCTCACATCTGACTACACATTTGAGTTAAAATCTTCTGTGAAACATAATGGTGATAAGCCTGTGTTGGGTATGCACGATGGATTCCCCATAGTCGTCTTGGTTAGGCACAAAACCACTCTTACTTCCAGAAAATGTAGTCTTCATTAATTGGTATTCAGACATCCCTTGTAATAACAGAGATTGATACATATTTTGGTTTTAGGATGTTTTTCCAAAAAACTCAAAATGTCATTTTAAACTGGAAGAAGAGGATAGCAAAATGGAGACACCCAGAAGTTTCATCACTATAAATCTGAAGCAAAGCATCAGATGCAGGACTTCAAGAATATCATAGAAAGACAAGAGAAAAATTTAGACAGAGTTCCACCAGAACCCAGAAATATCTTCATATAGATTTTTAGATGAAATGATAGTCACCAATATAGGATGCTAGGAGTAAGAGTGAGAAATAGGGAGAATCCTTCCAGTTGGGTTTCAGACTAAAGAATTAAAAAAAACCCTGGCATAGATATTCAGGAGGCTGAGTCTAAGTATTTTGATTCAAAGATACCCTGGCAGGAAACTCTGTAAAACTCTTCAATTAATCATCAAAAGCCAGAAATGAAAGTGTGGCTCAAGTACAGTGCTTGCCTTGAGCTTTGAGGTACAGTGCCCTAGCCCCGAGTTCAAGATCCAAGGCGAGAACTATTCCTCCCTCCCTCCCTTCTTCTCTCCCTCTCTCCTTCACTTTCTCCTTTCCTCCCTCTCTCCCTCTCTCCCTCCCCCTTCTGGACTATTCCACTTATAATTTTCTCAGAAATACTCGTATGGAATAACTTTGACATCTACTACAATTATCCTAACATCTAGAAAATCTTCACTTACTGACTTGCTGTACTCTAAGAAATGGTTAACTCAAGAAAAATATGTATTAAATGTTTATTTGAATTCATAAAACCTGACCAACGTATTCATTTTTAACTAATACATTTTTTCATATTTGCTTGAGATTTTTCTATCTGATAAAATACTGCTGCTTTTTTTAGCAGATTCTTTTGATATCGATTACCATTTACATTTTTTGAGTTCATACCTCTCCTGCTATGTTTCAGATCACACTCAGAGCCTAGTGGTTGTTAATCAAATCCTCCACCACTTGAAACATGAAATTTCACATTAAATTTGCCCAGGCTATTCTCAAATAAAGATATTTCTTTTGCCTGTGTCCACAATAAGATGGCGTTAAAGCATAAACTATCACCTATTTATTCATATGTCATACAGTACTAGAGTTAGAACTCAGTACCTCCTGCTGTCTTTTCAAGGATTCTACCCCTTGAGCCACACAAAATTTGTATGCTTGAGGTTATTTGAGCTATGTTTGTACCTCAATATTCTTAATTATATCCAGGTATCTTCAAAAGAGGTGCATACCAATACGTTTGCCTTTTAATTGAGGTGGAATTTTTTAAACTTTTGCACATGAGGACCTCAAGCATGAAGCTCCTATTCTCTAGCTCCCAACGAACTAATAATATAGATATACTCCCTGACCTACTACGTCACCTACTTTGCCCTACGTTTTGGTAGAAAAAATGGTAGATATCCCATTGCCTACAATCTATGGCCCAGTCCTGACCAAGTGTTCAATGGAGCCCTAGATAGTTTCCTGATTTGCCACCACATTTTCCCCAGCTAAATACTTGTTCTGATGCAAATGGTTGGCCATTTCTAATGCTTCGTGGAGACCAGTTCCTTGTCAATATTTCAGATGATTATTCAGAGTATAATATCACATGCTACCTATCAATTACTCCTTACCACAGAGCTTTCCACAGGCTATTCTATATCATATGGGAACAAATCAGGAATATCAAGGAGGGCCATATAGAAAACTTGGTCAAGACTGAGTCTTTGCTAGAAGGATATGAGAGAACTCCCATATTTTAAGCAGCACAAAGGAAGGAGGAAGTAATCCAAACATCCCAGGAAGAGGGCTGAGGGAAAGCAGATACATAGGGAAAAGCTAACTAGTGCAATGTGAACTAGGCATGGTATTGGTGTCCACTTTTAAAATGGGTCTTCAACACGGTCTAATTAGTGTCATTTGTGCATTTCCATAAAAAATTAACTTTTAGCGATATGTAGTTACATGTCACTGATTCAAAGATTCATTGAGCACCAATATTCAATATTCATTCATCACAATGGTGGCTTATAATGCACACACACACACACACACACACACACACACACATCAATAAAATTTGTGGATTCCTTTTCCCTTACACATGTCTTCAATAAGTATTCTGCCCATAGTTGGGCAGAATAAGTATACTGCCCATCAGTTCCGCCAGAATCCACCTAAAATGGATACTCCATATTTTTGTGTATTCTCTCCCATCTCAATCCTTTGGCTTTTCAGAGAGTTCCCTCTTGACCATTCTGTGTTCACAGGAAGACCACCAACTTTCTGCTGGATTATGGCATATGACCTAAAGCCCCTTCTGAATGAAATGAGTTTTACCCTACAGGAGTATTTTTTGAAATGTAGTGGACAGACAACACAGACATTCTATCATGAAGTCAGTGAAAACCTGTCTAGCATGTGTGCCACGGCATAAATATCCTTTCCACGTCCAATTGGATAACTTTCAGGTAGAAAAATCACCACAGTTCTCCAATGATTAATAACAGCTGAAGGACTGCAAAAGATGGATGACTCCGATATGGAGCAGAAGGAAAGAAGACAATTATGTACAAGAAATAGAACCTTACCAAGTAGAGTATAAGGACAAATATGGACTATATCTAGTATTGGAGATAAGAGTCTCACGAACTTTCCTGCCCGGGTTGGCTTTGAACTGTGATCCTCAGATCTCAGCCTCGTGAGTAGCTGATTACAGACATAAGCTACCGGCGCTCGGCTTCCTTCTTGCTTTTGTAACTGTTTTTAGTAAAATAATTGAATTTATTCCTGAGCTGGTCCAAACAGTAGCATTCTTATGTATTCTTACCACATAACTGGTATGATGGGCTTCCCTACCAAATCCAGTTCTATATTGGTTGAGATGTGATCTCATGAACTCTTGACTTTGGTCATGAACTGTGGTCTACTAATCACAATGTCCCTAGTAGCCAGGATTACACTATGAGCCTAAAGAAACACACTGAAAGTTGTTTAATATTAGAGTAGGGGGGAGACAGGGAAAAGAACAATGAAGAAATTATTATGATTAAAGTTAATTAAAATAATATATAAATCACCATAACAAAATTAAATCAATAGAAAGCATCACTAATTATGTAGATCAACCAGAAGAAACATCAGGGATATTGAACAAAGATGGGGATTTTGATGACAGGTTAATATATAGAAAAAAAACAAAATAAAATATAATAAAAATGTACAGAATCTCTGCCTTCTTATAAGGAGTGTATATAAAGGAGTGTATATACCATATATATATGCCGTGTGTGTATATATATCTATATATATATATGTATAGATATATATATATATACACGGCATATATATATGTGTACATAACATATATGTGTATACATACATACTATACATATATATATTATATATATGTATATATCATATATACACATACATATATGATATATATGTATGTATAAGGCATATATACATATATATTATATATACATATATTTTATATATACATATATAT